CTCCGCTTGGCGGCAGGTTTCGTCGATTGCAGCAATCTCAAGGTCTTCTGCTGCTGCTGTTGCTGCTGCTGTTGTTGCTGCTGCTGTTGTTGCTGTCGCTGTGGGGTCTACCTGCCAGCCACCTGAAACGTGCCCCTCCCCATGCTGCTGCTGCTGCTGCTGCTGCTGCTTCTGCGCTGCTGCAGCAGCAACAGGCCAGCAGCTCTCGCTGCTGAACCCTCCGCTGGTGCATGCAGCAGCAGCATCAGCTGCTGTTGCTGCAGCAGCAGCAGCAGAGTTGGGATGGTATAGGGGCTGTGGGGCGCTGCGTAAATTGCAGAAGGCGGTGCTGCTGCTGCTGGGATTGTGGGGGGCAAACCCGTATGGCTGCTGCTGCTGCTGCTGTTGCTGCTGCTGCTGCTGTTGCTGCTGCTGCTGCTGCTGCTGCCTTACTTCGGCTTGTGAAGAAATACCCCAGGCAGCCTGCAGCAAAGTTCGGCCCCCTAGAAGAGACGCCTGCTGCTGCTTGTGTTGCTGCTTCTGCTGCTGCTGCTGTTGCTGCTGCTGCTGCAGCATACAAATGCTCTGGGGTAGAGACACACCAGAGGCAGAGAGCAGCAGCTGCTGCATGCATTCCCTAACGCGCGCTGCTACGACTACGCTGCTGCTGCTGCTGTTGTTGCTGCTGCTGCTACAGTCTTGCTGCAGCACCTGGTGTTGCTGCTGCAGCTTTTGCAGCAGAGACGCTGCAGCAGAAGCAGGAAAAGCAGCAGCAGTTACTGCAGCATACAGCCACCTGGGGGCCCACCCGGCCCCTTCAGCAGCAACACCGCTGCAGCAGCTGCTGCTGTTGTTGTTGTTGCTGCTGCTGCTGCGAGAAGGCAGCAGCACAGAGAGGCGCCAAGCTCCTCCATATGGGCAGTGCTCTACCAGCCCTGCTGTATCTGATTCCTGCAGTAGCAGCAGCAGCAGCAGCGGCAGCACAAACAGAAGGTAGCATCAGCAAGATAGAGCAACAGCCGCAGCAGCAGCAGCAGGCAGCAGCTGTCTAACAGCAGTTGCAGTAGTAGTAGCAGCAGCAGCTGCTGCAGCACCGCAACGTGAAGGCAGCAGCAAAACCACAGAGGCTGCACGTCTATCGTAAAACAGCAGCAGACACTGCAGCAGCAGCAGCAGCAGCAGCATGTTGTAAAGCATACAAGCATACCCGTTGTAGCGCTCTTGCTGCAGCAAGAGCAGCTCGATCTGCAGCAGCAGCAGCAGCAGCAGGCAGCTGCGGTGCTGCTGCTCGCAGCCACAGCCAAGGGCCCCCAGGTCCGCGTAAAGAGATAATAGACAGATATACTGCAGCAGCACAACTGATCGACATAGGGTTTAGGGTTTAGGGTTTAGGGTTTAGGGTTTGAGGTGTTGTGCGCCTGACAGGGACCCTCATCCTTAACGAAGGAGGAGAGGCAATGGCAGCAGCTGCTGCAGCAGCTGTCTAACAGCAGTTGCAGTAGTAGTAGTAGCAGCAGCAGCAGCAGCTGCAGCAGCAGCAGGAGCAGCTACAGGCCTCGTCTAACTTCTGTGTCTTTTTCTCTTTCTAATTAACCCCTTTAATGCATTTTGCTTCTTTCTTATGCAGAAGATTCATGCCAATCGACATGCTGCTGCTGTTGCTGCTGCTGCTGCTGCTGGGGGGCCCGGGCCCCCCAGCTGCAGCAGCAAGAGCAGCAGGAGCAGCAGCTGTTGCTGCTGCTGCAGCAACTAGAAGAAGTTGCATTCAGAGTCTTAGCAGAATATTAACAGCATTAATTTTATTATTTCTTTATCTTCCTGCTGCAGTGCTGCTGCAGTGCTGCTGCAGTGCTGCTGCAGTGTTATGCCGAGTGCAGCAGCAGAGTATAGGCGGCGGGGCCCTCTGATTGTTCCGCAATTTTATTATTTTTAATTGTTGTTATTATTATTTTAAAGTATTATTATTATTTATCTATAAAACTCGAGAAGAAAGAGACAGGAATAGTTATATTTCAAGGCGCTGCTGCTGCTGCTGCTCTTGCTGCTGTAGCTGCTGCTGCTACAGGCTTCAACGTACAGCAGCAGCAGCAGCAGCGCAGCAGTAAGGAGTGAGCCTTATGGCCATCATAGGAGCCGCCCAACGCTTAGGCATCACAGCAGCAATACCCGCAGCAGCAGCTGCTGCAGTTTCAGCAGCGGCTGCTGCAACAACCTGAAGCAGCAGGGTGATGGATTGGCAGCAGACGTAGCAGCGATTAATATTGTGCAGCACCAACAGCAGCAGCAGCAAAGACAGCAGCTTCTTGCTGCAGCAGCAGCAGCAGCAACAACAACAACAACGGAGGCTTTCGCCCTCCTTGGCATTTGTGGGGTCGTCAGACAGTCGAGGCACAATGGCTCGGAAGCAGCAGCAGCAGCAGCAGCAGCAGCAGCAACTGCAGCAGCAGCAGCAGCGAGCGCAGCCGCAGCAGCAGCTAGAGACAATAAGCCACAGCAGCAGAAGCCAACAAAAGAAGCAGTTTCAATTCAAGGCTTCGCTGCTCTCTCCCTTCGTTGCCCCATGGTGTGCTGCTGCTGCTGGTGTTGCTGCTGCTGCTGGTGTTGCTGCTGCATAGATTGGAAACATTTTGCTGCTGCTGCTTCTGCTGCAGGCTTGTGATTTGCTGCTGCTGCTGCTGCTGCAGTAGGCAGAGTAGCAGCAGGGCGTTCACTTACTGCAGCAACAGCATCGCTTGCTTTAGCAGCAACCCCTCCTGTAGCAGCAACAGCAGCAGCAACTCCTGCTGCTGTCTCTTCTCTCGCCTTTTTTGTTGCAGGCCTGTTGCGCTTGGAGACGCTGAAGGAGAAATTGTCTCTTCGATTGAGAGGTCACTTGCTGCTGTTGCTGCTGCTGCTGCTGTTGCTGCTGCTGTTGTTGTTGCTCCTGCCGCTGCTTCTTTTGTTGTTGTTGCTGCTGCTGCTCTCTGTCTCTCTTGGTGTTTCTGCTTGTGGGCTTTTAGGGTTTACTGCTGCTGGCTGATCTTCGCTACACGAGACTGATTCTGTGCTGTCTTGCTGCTGCTGCTGCTGCTGCTTGTGCTGCTGCTGCTGCTTGTGCTACTGCAGACTGTGTGCTGCTGCTGCAGCTTCTGGGATTCGTATTCGCGCAGCAGCAGCCATTGGCTTTAATGCATGCGCTGCTATTTTGGAGCAGCAAGCTGCTGCTGCAGCAGGATCTGCAGCAGCAGCAGCAACAGGATCTGCAGCAGCAGCAGCAGCACCAGCAGCAAGCGATGGAGATGCTGCACGTCCTGCTGCAGCACCTACTGCACGCGAGTGCGAGGCAGCAACAGGGGGTGTAGCAGGAGGAGCAGCAGGCGGCGCAGCAGCAGCACCAGCACCAGCACAAACTGCAGCAGCAGCACAACCTGCAGCAGCAGAACTTGCTGCTCTGATCTGCGTTTGCTGCTCTCCAGTTGATGGGGGCCTCCGGGCGTCGGGGCTGCAGCAGCTGCTGCTGCTGGCGTCATTTCTTAATATACCCGCTGTTCTCCTACGCAACAACGAGTGAGCCTACTGCTGCTGCTGCTGCTGCTGCAGTTGCAGCTGCTGTTGCTGTTGCTGCTGTTGCGTGTCTCCGTGCTGCTGCGGTCGCTGCTGCTCCGTCTGTGCTGCTGCTACTGCTGCTGCAGCAGAAGCATTCGCTACTGGACTATTGAATTTCTGTTGCTGCTGCTGCTGTGTTGGCGTTGCTGCTGCTATTGTTGCTGCTGTTGCTGCTGTTGCTACTGTTTCTTTTCAGATGCAAACGGCGGATTGCTGCTGCTGTCGGTTTGCCTACAACTTTGGCTGTTGGAGTGTATACGCAGCTGCAGCAGCAGCACAGCTGCTGCAGAGCTGCAGCAAAGAAGCTGCTGCAGCAGCAGCAAGCTTTGCTGCGGACCAGCAGCAGCAGCATCAGCATGAGCAACGTAGGCGCTAAAGAGGGATTAGAGGGCGCAGGTGGCGCAGCAGCAGCAGCAGCAGCAGCAGCAGCAGCAGCAGATTTTGCTTCCCTAGACAACAGCTACAACAATGCTGCCTCCTCTGAGCAGCAGCAGCAGCAGCAGCAACAGACAGTGTTGGAGGAGCAGCAAGCCCTAATAAATGCAGTCGCGAAGTACGGGCCTCCGCAGCAACTGCCCTTCATGCTGCTGCAGCGGCAGCAGCAGCAGCAGCAGCAGCAGCAAGTGCTGCAGCTGCTGCCTCCCCGTGTGCTGGCGTTTGCTGCAGCATATCGCCCTAAAGAAAGCAAAGTAGGGACGAATAGAAGACAACGCAGAGCAGCAAGAAAAAACAAACGCAGAGCTCAAAGGCAGCAGCAGCAGCAAGCTGCTGCTGCTGCTGCTGCTTCTGCTGCTTCTGCTGCTTCTGCTGCTGCTGCTGTTGCTCCTGTACTGGATGGTGGAAGACCTGCAGAACCTGCAGCTCCTACAACCGCAGCAACTTCTGCTGCAGCAGTAACTGCTGGTGCAACAACAACTGCTGCAGCAGAGCCTCCACCTGCTGCAGCAACAGACCCAACCGCTGCATCGGCACCAGCAGGTGGTGCTGCAGCAGTTGCTGCAGCACCTGCTGCAGAAGCACCTGCCGCAGAAGCACCTCCTGCTGCAGCACCTGCTACAGCAACTGCTGCAGCACCTGCTGGAGAAGCACCTGCTGCTGCAGCACCTGCTGGAGAAGCACCTGCTTCTGCAGCACTACCTGCTGCTAGTGCTGATATTGCTGCGGCACTGGTTGCTGCTGCGGCTGCTCCTGAGGCAGCAGGCGGTGGCTCCTGACGGCTGCAGCAGCAGCAGCTGCTGCAGCAGCAGCAGCAGCTGCAGCAGCAGCAGCAACAACAGGATTTAATTTGCGGAGTTTTCTTTGTTTGCCAGTAGGCAGGTGAAGGCTTGTCGGTTTGCTGCAGTAGCTTGAGTCACCGTCCTCGTTGCTGCTACTGCTGCTACTGCTGCTGCTGCTGCTGCTGCTGCTGCTGTTTAGAAGCGATCAAATGTGAGTTT